GGGGGGGCAGATTAACACTTCCACGGTGAGGGAGGGAGGGGGAAAGGGCCAGGTGCTGCCCATGGCGGGGCGGGGGCATGGAGTGGAGGTATGGGTGGGGGGGTGGTGGCTCCTGCCACTGTTTGAACCCCAGGAGGCCGGGGTGGGGTGTGCCCCTTGGATCTGAGTGGGGTGGGCAGGCTGGAACCAGTGCTGCGTGGGACTCTTCTCAGCCGGCAGCGCTGGGAGTGGCTGCAGCCACCCCAAATTTTGCCACAGCTCTACTCCCAGCCCCGGGCTGCCAAATGCAGCCTGGCTCCATGTCCCGCCTGCACCCACGCACTGGGAAGAGCTGAGACTGTGCTGGTAACAGAGCTGTGGCAAAATTTTGGGTGGCTGCAGCCCCCTGTCAGCGCCTGCTCCAAACCCACCCTGCCGAGAACAGTCCCACGCGGTGCCAGAAGAGCCTCAGAGCCCCCCCTGGGCAGCGCCTGCCCCTGCCCCCTTCCTCCCTCACTGCAGGGGGCATTGATCTGCCCTCCCCTATGCCCCTTCCCTCCCTTACCCCTCCCCTTCCCCCACCACAGACTTACCACCTGGAGGCAGCTGTATCAGATCATTATTGGCTGATATGCCTCCTTAAATATTGGCTATTGGTATAGGCCTTCAAAATCTCTATCAGTGCACCCCCAGTCATAAGCAACTTAAACCTTCATAGGCAAACTTACTTGCTTTTTCATGCACAGAATTGCAAAGTTAGAGGGGTAAGGAATTGGGAGGCACTACTTCACAGTCAGGGCGGCTAGGATCTGGAACCAACTTACAAGGGAAATGGTGCTCGCTTCTACCCTGGGGATCTTCAGAAGGAGGCTAGATAATCACCTAGTCGGGGTCATTTGACCCCAGCATTCTTTCCTGCCGTGGCAGGGGTCAGACTTGATGATCTGCTCAGGTCCCTTCCAACCCTACCAACTATGAATGCAGTAGAGGCATATTGTAATTCAGTACTTTTGCATGTTTCAAAATTTGTTTTGGGAAGTTTAGTTTAAAAAAGATTATGAACGTTGTTGTTTATAGAATCATAGAAAATGAGGGTTCAAAGGGACCTCAGGAAGTCATCTAGTCCAACACCCTGCTCGGAGAATGACCATCCCCCACTATCCCAGCCAAAGATTTATCTTGTCAGGTCTTAAAAACATTCAAGCGTGGTGATTCCACAACCTTTCACAGTAGCCTGTTTCAGTGCTTTACTACCCTTCTAGTGAGAGAGTATTTTTCAGATATCTATCCTAAACCTTCTGTGCTGCAACTTGAAACCATTGCTCATTCTTCTCTCATCTGCTACCACTGAGAACAGTGTAGTCTCATCCTCTTTGGAAACACCCTTCAGGTTGCTGAAGGCTGCTATTAAGTCCCCCCTCAGTCTTCTCCAAATTAAATAAGCCCAGTTCCCTCAGCCTCTCAGAAGTCACGTTTCCCAGTCCCCTAGCCATTTTTGCTGCCTTCCTCTGGGCTCTCTCTGATTTACCCGCATTCATTCCATAATGGGGGCCCAAAACTGGACGCAGTATTCCAGATGTGGCCTCACCAGTGCTGAATAGAGGGGAATAATCATTTCTCTCAATCTTCTGGCAGTGTTTCTACTAATGCAGCCGGGTATGCCATTAGTCTTCACAACAAAGGCATGCTGTCAGCTCATATTCATCTTATTGTCCACTGGCTGCTTTGCCAGTCATCCCCAGCCTGTACTGGTGCACGGGATTGCTCTGTCCTAAATTCAGGACTTTACACTGCTCCTTATTGAATTTCATAAGATTTGTTTTCGTCCAATCCTCCAATTTCTTTGGTCTCTCTGAATCCTAGCCCTACCCTCCAGCATATTTTACTACTCTCCCCAGCTTGGTGTCATCTGCAGACTTGGTGAGGGTGCACTCTATCTCATCCTCTAGGTTGCTGATCAAGATACTGAGCAAAACCGGCCATAGGGCACTCCACTTGATACTGGCTGCCACCTAGACACTGATCTATTGATTGCTACCTTTTAAATCTGAGGAGCCAGCCAGTTTTCTTTCCACCTTACTGTCCATTCATCTAACCTGTATTTCTTTAGCTTGCTTGCAAGATTGTTATGGGAAACTATATCAAAAGCCTTGCTAAAATCAAGGTATATCATGTCCACTGCTTTCCCCGCATCCACAGTGCCAGTCATCTTGTCATAGAAATCAGTCTGGTTGGTCCAGCATGACTTGCCCTTGTTGAATCTGTGCTGATTGTTCCTAATCTCCAACTTTTCCATGTGCTTAGTAATTGATTCCTTGAGGACCTGGTCTATGATTTTTCCAGGGATAAGGGTGGGCACTATATTTGCCCTATATTATTTTACATATGGGTGCTATATTTGCCCTTTACAGTTGCGTGGGACCTCTCCTTATTGCCACGAGTTTTCAAAGATAATGGACAGTGGCTCTGAAATCACATTTGTCAATTCCCCCATCAGGTCTGGCCCTTGTATATGTCCATCTTTTCTAAAGAGTCCCTAATCTGTTTTTTGCCACTGCTGGCTACCAAACCATGCTGGCAGGTGCAGTAGTCTGGAAGCTGGCCTTGCCTGTGGTGACTGAGGTAAAAAAAATGTCAAATACTACCAGCATTTTCTGCATCTTCTGGTGCTAGGTTGCCTCCCGTGTTCACTAAGGGACCTACACTTTCCTTGATCTTCGTCTTGTTGCTAACATACTTGTAAAAACTCTTCTTGTTACCGTTCATGTCCCTAGCTAGCTAGCTGCAACTCCAACTCCACTTTGGCCTTCTTGATTTCATTCTTTCATGCCCAAGCAATACTCCCTAGTCATTTGTCCAACTTTTAAAAGTTTACATGCAAAGTCCTACTTCCAAACCCTATCAAAAGCAAATCTTTCAATTAACGTAGATGGGCTTTGAATGCAGATCTGTAATAAATAATAATCAGACAAATTGGAGGAAGAATCTGAGATTTTGAACATTCACTTTTCCCACCAGCTTGATTTGGAGTTATGGATGCTCAGTAGTACTGGCAGGGGTCATCAGATGAATACAGCCTTATTTAACATCATGTGAATACAGCCTTAATTAGTTTTGCTAATAATCTGGAAAAAGATATAAACAGAATGTGAATGAAACATGCAGATGACACTAAATTTGGGTTGCAGTGCAGACACCAATCAACACAAAATACAAAGGGATCTGAAAAGAAATATGGGTAGAAAATAAAACTGAAAAGCAATTTAGAGAAAATGCTACCTAATACATTCAGCAAAAGTATAATTTAGTTGAACAATAACTTATGATGGTAATGATACAGTTACAAATAACAGAATGTTGTCAGCAAGTAGGAAGCAGAACCATAATTCATTAACAGTTATTTTTACGGGGCTTTCAGTGCACAGTAATTAACCAGGCAATCCTTGCAACATGCTGTCTAAGCTTCCTCCACAACACTTTACAGACTGGGGGTAGGGGCTCAACCAGATGAATGAATTGACTTGCCTTGTGGGAAAATCAGAATTGCAATGGTGCCCCTGCTGCAGTCCTCCTGCTGTGTTGACTTCATCCAAACCACAGTGTTCTCCTTTGTGATCAGGTGTAACTAAGGAATATAATGTAACTAGGAATAACAAAGGAAGAGAAAAGCTTTTGTATCAGGAAAAACTTACAGTGGAGGGCATTAAGCTGTATAATGCTCTCCTAGACTAGGGAGTATTGTTTGGGCATGAAGGAATGAAATCAAGAAGGCCAAAGTGGAGTTGGAGTTGCAGCTAGCTAGCTAGGGACATGAACAGTAACAAGAAGAGAAAACCCCACGTGGACAGCAGTTGGAAGGGGAAGCTTTGTCCTTTCCTATCCTCCAAATGCTTATTTCAGTGGGAGCATCCAATCCCCTTCTTCCTAATTTTCTCTGTTCCCTCTTTCTCTTTGAGTCATTCTTGCTCAGTGGTCTGTTAGAAGCTCAGACAAGAGACTACAGACCAGCTAGCTGCCTTCAGGCAGTGACTGTCCTCCACATGCTTCTGAGGATTCCCATTCCTACCCTAGTGAGTTTGATCACTAGATCTCTGTGCATTCACTGCAAGTAGAAAAATTGGGGTGTGGAGTTTGTTTTTCAAACCACTTGATTAATTTTTCAATAAAAACAGTGCATTCCTAATTAGGGATGGGATATTGCCATTTTTAATTATGTGAAAGTGGTGTATTTTTATTTGCTGTGTTATGATAAATACTGTAAAATTGTTCCTGTAAAATGGCTTCCTATAGTTGGAGAACACAGGTGGGGGAAAGGGGAAGCTACACACTTAAACATATTTCTGTTTGTTCTCTTAGGTGAAAAAGGTAGTACACACAGGTTTTCTTCCATCTTTAAGAATCTTTTGCAAGAAGAACTTGATAAATCAACTTGGCAGCTGGTAATAGAAGAACTGGCCAGAAAAAAACTGTGGCAGGTGAGTTTATTATTTTGCAAGGGAAACTAGCAAGTCCATTCATATCTGTATAGACTTGGGTAAAAGTAGGTGACTTTTTTTTTTTTATTATACATTGGTGCAATATTGGATCGGCACTGATATAAAGAAAGTTGTCTGTATTGGAAATCGGCCTGATGTAGCCAATAATGTGGTCAATAAAAGGCCTGTGCACGTACACAGCCGCAGTGCAGCACATAGGTGATGAGGAGCACAGCTCAGCAGCTTGGAGAGCTGCATGCAGCTGGCCAGTCTATTGTGGTGGAAGGGGAGGGAAAGGGTGTGGGGGGCAGATCACAGCCCCCATGGTGAGGGAAGGAGTGGGGTTGGGGCAGGGGCAGAGGCAGGCATTGCACAGGCAGGATGCGGGATAGAGCCCCAGGTCGTTGGGGGGGGG